TTATTTTATCAAAAAAAGATAATTCTTTCAGGAATATAGTATGATACAGAACATAACGCAAACTAATATAACACATAATACATAATTTTTATATAGTACAAACACTAACTTATTATATAATTGCATGATAATAATTCTTTATTTTCTGTCCATGCAGGATATTTCTCTTCCTCATTTATTTTTTTGTAGAAACTAATTTTTCTTAAATCTTGGGTGTTATTTTTGGTATAACCAACTGCAGATATGATACTACTTATATACTTACAATAATTATTCATGAAATCACTGATAATAATGCATTTTTACATACTTAACGTACTTTTTTCTAGAGTGTAACATAATTTTACTTATTTTATTTAACGTTTTAAGTAAAACTATAGGAAAAAACATTACAAGTGCATACATAGCCACAAAGCAAAAGAATTGTGTACAATTACTATGAATTAATTTTACTTGCATAAAAGTTAATGTTAACATTTTCTTATTGGACCCTAGGGGCTGGCACGCCAAGCACGCAGGAAGACGGAGCTTCATAAGTATACACATAAGTATACACATTTAAAAATTTACTCTTACTATTATCATTATTTTTTTTTGTAGGAGATAAGTTTTTCGAACTACACTCTTGTTGTTGCATGATTTTGTAGTTAATTATCACTGAGCCAACGCTGCTCTTAACAAACTTAATTAGAATCTTAATGGTTTATTAGTTGTACTAAAATAAATATAAAGAGTTTTTTTGGACATGTTATAGCCGATGAGTTAAAAAAGAGACTGGCTTCCGGAATAAGATGAGCATAAAAATAAGTCTTTATGTTGATTAATAGTTGAAAATTATACACGTATTAAAGATTGCAAAACTTAGTAAATGATGTGATAGGTGAGTTCTCTCTTATCTTGGCTTTATAGGGCCCTGAAAGGGAACTTATAAAAATGATGTGTCAATACTTCCATGATTTCTATTATAAAAAGAATTACGTGAATTAATAAACGTATTATGACATTGAATTACATAGTAAAGATAAAACATTTCACATAGTTTAACAATTATATCGATTCAAAAATTTTTAGCGCACCAGTAGTTATATTCTTAAGAATGAATCAAAATCAAATAATTATAAAACCATTCATTATTATATCATGGAGTATTACATATAATAAAGAAGTTACTACATACAAAGTCCACCTATTTGCATTCTGGGCGATAGAAAAGAGGTATAAATGAGTGTATACGTAAAAGTTATATAAAAAGCATAGCAAATTTAATTCTTTTTTTATAAATATGTATTTATTTATTAACGTCTTGTATCCCCTTCGGAATTATTTTTATACTAAATAATCTAATTACGCCGATTTTTATTTCTAATTTTCAAAGCACTTTAAAAAATTCTTTCGGTATTATTTTATTTGTGCTTTTTCTGATGTTCTTATTTCTTTTATCGGGGCTTAGCGTCATCCTTTCATGGGCCTCTTAAATTTAGGAACAGGAAACGTTTACAAAGAGTCAGATCTACTAAGTACGGTGCCTGCGGCATCATAACTGTATTGTTTTTGGCCGCTAATAAATTTATAAATGAATGTATCACGGCATTATAAATTATTACGTACAATAAATATTTTTTTACCTCAATTTTTCGGTATTTTGTGAGCGGTTGGTAGGGGGTAACTGGACATTTGAGCTGGGTCGTGGGGCTATGGAAGGGGGTTTGTGTTGAATGCTCTACATAAGGAACGGTAAAGTATGGGAAGATATATACTAGTTGGGATCTGCCCCTCCTCTCCAGGCCTTGCACGCCAACTCTTAACAACTGTTTTGTGTAGACCTTAAATATTTAAGTATATCCGTGAAGGATAACCATCTCATAAACTTGATATAAAAATTAAAAGCAAAGTAATATTCATAAGAAACTCAAGTACATCAGATGGTTTGCGTAACAGCGCACAATTGTGAATAAATAAATTATTGAATTACCATTTAAGAAGTAAACTAATTTTATTTGAGATGTATTGGGAAAAAGTTTTCATTTCTATAATTGTAGTACAGTGTTGTTCGTTTCTCTTACATTATTTAGAACTCAATTTTTATCAGCTCCAGTATTTTCTATTGGTATTATGTATTAATAAATTACAAGGTTAAAGTTTTCATACCGTTGGTTTCTAGTTCAAGAAAACCTATGTTTTATAATGGTTAGCTATATATGTAGCATTGCCAAAATGCAAAAGTTGAGATATAATATTTATTTAAACGAAAAAAAGTGGTATTAATATTCAAAAAATTGTCTATAAAAAAAATTCTTCAACCATTAATATTTATGAGTCAATTAACTTACAATTTTCCTGTATACATAAAAGTGTCAAGTTATTTAAAGTTATCATGTTAATCAATAATTTATTATTCAATGATTGTACATAAAATAATATTTAATTTTTTTATGATTAGAACTATTTGTAAGGAACATAACCCAAAATAATACTACGCAGAAATATTCAATTTTTTTTCGCTAGAGCATAATTTTAATATGACTCCTCGGTATACACATCATATAACAATACTAAAGTGTTTAAACATTCTTTTCATGACATGCATTACGTCATATAACGTAAGATCAACTGTTGTTTGAATTATAAAATGGTCTTATTTTTTTAAGAAAAAAATACTGATTAACGTCAATTCAACAGAAAAAAAGAACAAACCGAAATCGTTATTCAGACTATTAGAAGCGAAAAATTAGTATATTTCTTACCTTGGGTAGAAAGTACAACTTGCGTGCCTGAAGGCCGTGATTGTTGTAAGTTTCTGCCTGGGGTGGGAACGACACTTTTTGCATCGAGGGCAGAAAGTGCAACTTTGCCCTCGTGTACACACTTTCCGCCCGCCAATTACATTCCGCTCTAGGGCAGGAACAAACTTTGGGCCTGACAGACCCAGAATGTTCCTTGCAAGGCACTTTACCCAATGGAAAAAATACAATTTTATTCTTTTCCGAAAAAATATTATTACTAAATTTCTATAAGTCAGCAAATAAATTCGATATCCCTATCAATAATTTAATGGTTACATAATGTGACAAATGTCTTAAAGGAAGTTAGTAATTGTACTACATTATGATATTAAATGATTCGAATATTTCGATCTATATACTACTACTACTACTACGATATAGATACTACTACTTCAAAGTATTGAAGCCCTTGTGATCTAATGTTAATGTGTACAACAAAATATTAATACTTATGAGCCATGGGACTTATGAATTCAATATAGCATTACAGTTGAATAAAATTTTTCAAAAAAAATTTCTTTAATAATTTATGTGTGTGTATATAAATATATAAAGAATCATGGAATTACAAATAATTGTGGGGGTCGGTGCATGAAGCCCTATAACCAACCTGTATAAATATACACATTTAGTGGTGTATAATTGATTCAAGGAGTGTATAAGTGTGTGAGAAAAACAGACGTGTGTTTGTTGAGTACTTTCAGAAATTGAATTAATTGTAGCGTCATACATGGATTAGAATAGTCAACTATCTTTCTCAATATTCATTTATATTGCCGTGAACTATGGTTGTTGTAGAGTCGACAGAACTTGTTCAGATAGCTGTCTTAAAATTAGCGTATTGATCGTCTGCTGGTGAGCTCGTTAGTGCATTACTGAGTTGCAATATTGCTGGATCCTCTAAGGCAGTTACTACAGTGGGTATTTGTTACGATTAAAGGTTAAGTCTAAGGTTTTACAAATTGCCTTGATTTTTACGAAACATTTGGATGGAGACTTTGCCCTGGAGGTAACTGATTCTCAACGGTGGCCATGCTGCTTACTTGTCAGAACACTTCCTCAAAGGGTGGCTGTTGTGACTTTTGATCAAAAATCAAAGCTTGATTTTTGTCTGTGAGATATAAAATAGTACTTTCCTAAATAATGGTCACAGACAATTTTCAGTTTTGACCTCAATTTTTTTTTTTTTTTTTTTTTGAGTACATACATGTTAAGGTCAGTTTAGATTTTTATACTGTGTTGTTACGAGAACCTTTTTTTTTTTTTTTTTTCTCCAAAAGTTGAGATATCACACTTGAGTAAGGATTGATGAGTTTTTCAGCTTTTGTTAAATAGAGATATTGTATGAATAAATATTTAAAACAGCATACATTCCACTCCTTATTTAATTTGATCCTGATAAAAATAATACATTTTATGAACGTACTTTGTAAAATAAATCTAAGCCTTTTATCAATACAAATTTGAAATTGATTTAAAAAAATTAACATGTAGGAAAGTATCTAGTTGAGCCTAGATGTAGACCAAGATGCCGTTACCAGTGACATGCTAAATATCTTTATGTATTTAATGTTTTTCATACTTACAAATTAAATTCGTTAAATAAGAAATTATCGGCTAACTAATGTAGTCGAATGCAAAAATTTCATAGAACATTATTATTTAGTAACTGCAGTTAGTCGATCGATGTATTTTGTATAATAGTTATAACACTTACATAATGATTTGTACTCATAGAAAATTAGTCAACATTTATGAGATATAATAAGAATCTTAGGGTATTCAGGACAGGTTTATTATTTTTTTAAAATGGTAGACGCTCCCAAACTTTTTATCATTACTAGAAATTTATGTACAAGAATTTTATGATGAAAGTGCGTAGTCTAACAGAAAAGTTTATTTCTCTGCCAAAGGTTGGTTAGTGGTACTAAAAATACATATTCTTTTTTCTTTTTTTACACTTGAAAGCCCTGAAATTTTCAGATTGTTTCTTGTTGAGTGTTTTGAAGCTATGCTTAAGGTACAATTTAATTGTTTTTGCAAAACTCAAATTTCATTCATCCAACTAACATAATATTTTTTAAATGTATTTTTGCGACGTATCACTAATTAACTGTATACTCTGATTTTGTGACAACGTCAAAAAAAAAAAAAAAAAATTATAAAATAAAATAAAAACGAATTGTAACGTGAGAGTTTCAAATTTTTTTTTTTCAGGGCACACCTTGCGATCTTATCACAGGAGAGGAAAGGAAGTATGCCACGTCTGACAAGAATTTTTCTAAACACATTTCTTGTACTGTAGAAATGATGGCGTTAAATGTTCCATGTAGCACTGATTGTTGTATTACTACACACATACATGAAGGTACACGATCTCAAATGTATAAACTTTGTTATAGGTGAAGTTGCAGTAATAGATGAAATTCAATCCATTAAAGATTTTCAACGTGGTTGGGCATGGACAAGAGCTCTATTAGGAGTCCCAGCAAATGAAGTTCACTTATGTGGAGAGGCAGCAGCCATTGATTTAGTAAGAGTTTAAAATATAGTTTGACCAATTTATTAATATCCAGCAATGTAGTACAAGTAAGCAGTAGAGATTAATTGGCGTTTATGTTACTACACTTTATGCGACTTGAGATTAAGGCCCGTTGCGAAATTTATTTTGCTTAGGGCATTTTTAGCTGAAACTTTTATACAAAGTTCGTCATTTTTTTCATGAAACAAAATTATTTTTGAGACAATTTGTTACCACAGTCGGTCTGGAGAAAATATTGTTTTACAAATTCGTTTGTACACGTTATTGTTGGTTCATACATCAGAAAATGAGTAGTGTAATCATAGTTTTATTAATAATTAATATTAATATATCAGAGAATTTTGTATTTTTGCCATTACTATATAAACTTGCCTCCGTAAAGAAAATGCATGTACGAATATTCTAATGATTTTTATGTTTCGCTATCAATGAAAATAATCGCTATGGCTGTGGTGACAAAATCGGTCAACGTAACTCTACTTTAAGTGGTGCAGCTAGCTTATTCAGCCAATAAAAATTGTGTCGTGAATGTAGAATCTATCCCATTCCATTTCTCAATCGTACGTACAATTTCTCCTCTCTCCCAATCAAATCCTACCAGTGAGCAGCCCTAAGGTAGTTGGGTTTAGTTTTAACATACTTATAGTATCGTATTTTGTGCATGGTACAGTGTTCGTAAGATAAGCGGAGAAAGACTGTTTGCTCATACGTCTATGAGTAATTATAAAAACACAGGAGTATATAGTGTAAGACACGAGGAAAGGGAGGGGAATAACGGTAGAGATGGGAATAATGTAACAGGTAATTTTAGAGAAAGCGCTGAGAAAAAATGGGGCACTTATAAACGATAAATTTATTACCAGTAGAGAATACTGGCCAAAAAATCGAGAACTTCTAACAGTAAATGAGTTAAAATACAAAGTTGAAATACAAATTAATAGAGAGACAAAACCAGTGGCCAGTGAGTGCTTAGGTATTCAAGTATGAAGTTATATTTCTATGGAAGACAATACAAGAATGGGAATATACCTTTTATGAAACGATTTTTAAGTAACCCACTGTTTTGTATTACAGATGGTGCAATTACCGCTTAAATAAGGGTATATGATAATTGAGTGTGGTTTTAACAAATGCTTCCATATTCTTAAAATAAATAATTAGAAACGATAACTCACGTAGATAGGAAAATTTCAAAGTAAAGCCATAGCACAACGTGCATTTAATATAAACATGTGGGTGTATACAATACCCACTATTTTTATTCAAAAGCCTGAGAAAAAACATTCTTTAGTATCGCTTTATCTTGAATAGAGCAATATTATATGCCAATCAACGTAGTTTAACATTCAAAAAATCACCTTATTCACAAATAAAAAAGTTTTTAAGAATAAGATGCAATGAGAAAGGATTTACCGGATTTGTCATAGAATCTAGTATGAATAAATTTATAATGAAAAATGATAAAAACTTTTTGAAATCGAACAAAAACATTTACTTGAAAATTAAAATTGTAAATTAAAATTAAATAATTACTTCTTAATACACGAATAGCTCTAACTAAAAAGGTTTGCAAACTTACAAAAAAATTATTTAATTAAATGAGTCATTTAATATTAATTGTAGTATTAAGAAGATTTAGAAGAAAAGTTAAAAATGTAGAATCGTGCCAAAAAAATTGTACGTTAAATTTGAGCATATGAAAAGTGCTCATAAATTTTTTCAGATATTTTACTAGGGAAATTTTCGAGAAAAAAATTATTAATTAATGACAGTTTAACAAGGTCTCTTATAACTAAACAAGGTTAGTTTGCCTTTTAGTTGAAATTAGGGTACATTGTAAATGTGTTGAAGTAAAAAAAAAATGTTTTTATAGATACCTTAGGCTTGACACAACAAATAAAGCCTTGTCAGGCATTTTAAAAAAATAGAATTAATTACAGTCGCACAATTTATAGTTTGAAGAGTGCCAGAGAAGGTGCGTGGTAATGGGAGTAAATTTGCGCTGGCCGGGGGAACCTTTTCTGTTCGTTTTTTCCGTAACTACCCTCTTTTTCCTCAAGTATGCGACCCCTTGCACAGTTCCCCTCAGACGACTTGGTTATCTATCCTACTGGGTACTATTCACAGATCGCAGCAATTGTCCCAAGCACACCTCAGCCATTATTAAGTTTAATGAAAAGATAACGAATAAACCATTTAAACCGCTGCACCGACTTATTTTTTAAATTAATAGTGACTAGCCGGTGAGCTGACCAGGTGTTGGCTTTCCTTTGAAAACGAAGCCCGTTGAGATCTAGAAATCACTTGAAAAAAAACCACTATTCGCTTTTAAAAATCTTATTAGTAGTGTTTCCGCATGCTATGTATACATTTCATCGAAAAAGCCCTAGAAAAAAATCTCGATAGTTTTTGATGGGATTTGAACCCACGATCATTCAACTTTCTCCGGTTAGGAGGCTTGAACGCTAACCACTAAGCGATTGAAGCTCTTTATGAATAATTTAATAATGAGCATTATGTTTAATCGAACCAAATTAGTTAATAAATACAAAATAATTGTATGAATTCAAAAAAGTTATGAACCACAACATAAGAAATAAGAGGTTTCTGTACATTGAAGTAGATGATGGTGTAGTGAATACGGGTATATGGTTAGCTTGCAGAAGGTCGCAGGTTTCAATCTCGTTAAAAGTGTTTTTTTTTTTTTTTTTTTGGAAGCTACGATTACTACAGTAAGAATTAAAATTCAAAATTTACTTTCTTCACAATTATGCTTTCAAATCGACGCCCTGGACGAAGACTTTGCCCTGTTTCGAAGCCTGGACGGAAAATATGCCCTTTTCCTAAGCTCAGACGAAAACTAAGCCTTTTACCCTAGCTCGGACGAAGACTATACCCTTTTGGGATCCTGGACAAAGACTATGCCCTTTTTCGAAGCCCGGACGATAACTATGCCCTTTTATCTGGTCTGGACGAAAACTATGCCCTTTTTTTCTAGTCCGTATGAAGACTATTCGATTTTTTCCGAGTCGGGATAAAGATGTTAAACTTTTCTGGAGCCCGGATGAAGTGCAATTCATTTAAGCTCACCTTACATTTGTGTTTGTCAGTAGATAAGCTATGGCGATTCCAGCACAGCCCCCCTCCCCTCGCTAGCCCCTCTCGCGGTGTGCCCCTTCTTATGGCGGTGGCCCCCTCTCGCGGCGTGCCCCTCCCCGCGGCAGCCCCTCTTCGTTGATGAGTTGGACTCCCCTCGCTGCCAATGGGTAAGTGGGTCTGGCAGGCTTAAGTTTGCGTGCGCTGTGATGCGCATTTTTCACCTACAGCACTTGAGACTGCGCGCGCTGTTTGAATATCTTGTGCAGATTGTGCACGCGTTGGGTATATGTATTTTTTTTGTAAACGAGTGCGTTGCACGATGATGTAGGACGTGAAGGGGTAGGAGAATAATTGTTTAACATTTTTATTGTTTATTTTGGTTAATCTGTTTATTTTAAATTTAAAAAATTTATACTTACAAAACTAGACTTGCAAAATGCTCAGATTTGCAAAATGATTTGGTGAACATCTTATTCTCTGAGTACAATACATTTTTACAGATCCTTATGACTATTGTTGTCGTCATCAACATCAACCCATTCCATATTAAAATAAAACTTTTTCGTTCGTTTGACATTATAAAGAGCACAAATGGATTTGTAGGTTTCATTGTGATGAGCACAAGTAGTTACTTATCTTGGAAGTTCAAACGGTTGATAGTCTGTCATATCAGTTAAAGCCAAATCTTTCAAGCCACTTTTGTTTCAGGTCTCCAATAACGAATATCTTAGTAGCATTTTCAAGATTCTCCCGTAAAATATTCCCTATCTTCGTGTACTCAATTTTTTCCGAGTCCCAGCTTAGTCCATGATAGTAAAGTTCAAGGTATAAATTTGTATGTTTATATTTTGGTGGCAATTTTCGCCAGCTGAAGGGTGCTTTAAAAAGAAATACTTGTGCTTCTGCATCGGTGGGACTAAGTGGAAGGATAGCCAATTCCTTGAGCACATAATCATTACCTGGTTTCTTGAAACCTTGCATGTCCACAAAATACTCCATTTTCTTTGCTATTATGACATTAGTTTTTTTTTTTATCTTTTCATAACCTTCATTTCTAGGACAAGATCCTTTGCTGGTTAAATACTTATCAATAAAGTTTTTCAGCCAAGATTTCTTGTTTTTATCATCATCGTCCTTAGTTAAAAGTTATTGATACTTAACATTAGTAGTAAAATTGCTTGTACTCGGTTTATGCAACATATTGATTGAAGTCTTATTAAACAAATTGATTTTTCAAACAACTACACAGTCTTTCTCTTTCGATTTTCCCACAGATTTTGTTTTTTCGTCTTCACATCTTTCTTATGCTCGTTTCACTTCATCAATTTTTCCCACTTTTCTTGTCGTCGTTTATTTTCTGCTTCTTTCCTCCAGCTGTTACTCCGGCCTTTATCCATGATGGCTGAGAATAAACTGATGCTTACAGAGCCCATGAATCGGGTTTATATAGCTTTACATGAGTTTCTGGACATCCCCACTCATTGGACTATACTGAACGATACGATCATGTAAAATTAAGCAATAAGCTGATGTATTGGCAGGAAAATTGTTATGCGACTCAAATTCTAGCCTCACATCGACTGGAGCATTTTTTAATGTCTCGTTTTGTTTAGAACAATCAAGGACGATTAAAGGTATTCGATTAAGAAAGTGATGTTTGCCTGAAGAAAGTGTTTTTTTTGGCCATAATATGAATTTTAAAAATTAGCACACATGTTATATAGCAATGCAGACTGATTACGTGTTATATCGAGATTAAGATCACCATAAGGATAATATTGTGAATTTAAATAGAGTTTCACATTTCTTATATCGCAGTGATCAAACATACTAGTGCCTACATTTTTCTGATTTTTTCGGTTTGTTTGAAAAGCTAAAATAACATAACGTGG